CAAAGTTTAGTATTGTGTTATTGAATTTTTCTTCACTTCTTACAATATGTTTAATATAAAAATAAGCCAATTCAGACATAAATTTTCGGGTAGTTATTCTGTTTAAAATCAACGAGTTGATAGCAAAATGAATTTAGTTATAAAAAAAAACAAAGGTCAAGAAATGAGAAAAAGACTTATACATAATAAAAGGAATTAAAAAAAACTATACTTCTACGAAAGAATATGAAAAAGTGAATTATTTCAATCACCAAGAAAATTGGTGAAAAGAAAAAGATATATGAGATGATCTTAAAAATCATACTATCATATGCAAGTCATACATATTTTATTAATTGTTGTCAGTGCTCTTGCAGCTCCTAGATGTACACCAACTACAGTTGCTAATGTTGTTAGTGAACTTAATCCACGTCAACCATATGGAACTAGTTTTCTTGAGTTTGAAGCTTACACAAAAGCCTTGTTAAGTGAAGAAATTAAAATTCCACCTGAAAATAGAACTGAAGCCATTCAAACTAGATTAAACCAAATCAATAAACAACAACCACAAGCAGTCAATAAAACTCAAGAAGTTAATGAACAAATTGAGAAAATTAATATTAGTATTAAAACTATTGAACAACAAAGTGCTAAAGTTAATGCTTCCATTATTGAGTCATTAAAGAAAATTAATGAAACACAAAACTCAGAGAAACTTGAACTAAAAGCTAAAATGGAAGAAGTTGCTAAAGAAAAAGCTCTTGTTGAAGCACTTAATAAGAAAAAAGAAGAGTTAAGAAAGAAGAGTATAGAATATTATAGACTTAAAATTACTGCAGAAAAGATTGTAGAAGCACAAGCAGAACAAATGAGAAATAGAAGAAGATTTATTAGAGACTTTGAAGAGGCTAAAAGAAGAAATACAGAAACAAAAGAGGCAGTTGAAAAAGTAAAACAAGCAGAACATAAAGAACGAGTAGCCGCCATTAAGAGAACCAAAGAATATTTAAATAATTTAAGACAACAAGATATTGCACAAGAAATGCAAGAAAGAGCTGATAATTTAAAGAAAGAAGAAATAGCAGAAATTGTAAGAAGAAAAATGTTAATATTAGAAGAAAAAATTAAAACTGCAAAAATTCAAAATAATGAAGAGGATAGAATTAAATTAGAAAAACAACTTA